TTCACAAAGGTAGATGATGTACGAAGCTGTCTTCTGAATATAATAGCCACTGGCATCTTCATCAGAGCAGCTGTGGCTACTACACACACAGAAGGAGAGGGTGGAGAGAGTTATGGAGAGATCCTGGCTGTTCCCCCTTCCCCTCTCCCCTGCATCTTCCAGACAATTATATGTAATTCTGCCCCGACTGCTCATGATCTTGGGAGATGCTAGAGTACAGTGAGTACTGTGGATGCTAACAGAAGAGGGGTGTGCTTAAGTTCCAAATCCAGGACAAATGCTGAGCTGCCCATTTAAGATATCAAAGCTGGACCTGGCTCCCAGGTTTTCCCACCATCTCTCAGGCCCTACCTGTCACAGGGTATGGCATACCTGGACCCCTACCCTGAACTCTTCAGCCCAGGGGCTGGGTTGCCCTTCCCCCAGAGGCTCTTCCCTATGTAATCCAGACATTTTGGTTTCCTTCTGTACCTTTGCCCTCCTGGCTGCTGTACCTGGTTCCCCTTTCTCCCATCTCTCCTCCTCTCTCCACTCCCACGTGGCGCAGCTCAGCCTGGTCACGTTCACTCTGGAGTTTCCCAGATGTCCCCACCTCTGACTGTGCTCTCCCATATATCTGCAATAAACTTTCTCTTCCACCATATCTAGTAGCAGTCATGCCCTTTACTTTCCTTTTTCTTTCTTTTTTTTCATTCAGGTGCCATCTATGCAGCTGTGAAAAATAGTTAATCCAAGCTGAGTTGAGACTTTTCAGTGGTGCAGCTTCTTTGGGGGTCACCCCACCCCTTTGTGTAGCCTTTCACCCACCCTCACTTCTTCTCTAAGCAGGCCCAATAAACTCATTGCTTATCTAAATTGGGTGGAGTCATACTTTGGATTGTCACTGGTTCCCAAGGTTGTTAGAATGTAATTGCCCCCATAAACTCATAGGGAGTGGCACTATTAGGAAGTGTTGGAGTAGGTGTGGCCTTGATGAAAGAAGTGTGTCACTGTGGAGGTGGGTTTTGAGATCTCCTTTGCTCAAGCTTCATTCAGTGTGACACTCAGACCACTTCCTGTTGCCTGCTGGTCAAGATGTAAGAACTCTCATCTCCTCTCCAGCATCATGTCTGCCTGAGTGCTGCTTTGTTTCCCACCATGATGGCAATGGACTAAGGCTCTGAATTGTAAGCCAGCCCCAGTTAAATGTTTTCCTTTATATGAGTTGCCATGGTCATGGTGTCTCTTCATAGCAATAGAAACCCTAACTAAGACAATTTCCTTTAAGAAAGGGTTTGACACCTGTTTATATCTTTCTTGGGAAAGAGTTTCCTCAACAATAGGGCAGATGATAAATTGTTTTTCTTTCTGGATGGAGACTCACCCATTAGACCAAGTCTGGCTTATTCTTCAACCATCTTGCTTTTTTATTGTGTACAACTTGGATCTATACCCATTTTTTACCCTTGTGGCAAAGAAATCAAACAATAAAACCCCATTTACTTGGAGAATGGTTTTGATCTCTTTCTGATCAACACCTCTGCATTGGCTGTGTGTGTGTGTGTGTGTGTGTGTGTGTGTGTGTG